GAATGACTAGTTATCGGACCCGCAGCTAATAGCTATTCCGTTTCACCGGAATGACTCGTACTACATTCCGGTAATGCTTGCAGTAAGAATATTCCTAAGTTGAGTAAGTTTCTGAGAAAGGTATCTGGTATAGGTTGTGCAGGAGGAGGAGGAAGCTGCAAGTTTAGTTGGCTGGCTTACTGCCACTGTTCCTTCTCCTCAGCTCCGTAATCAGTGTGATAATGTACTTCTTACCGTTTGGTGAACCAGTACATATTGTATCAGTATTATAGTCTATCACCATTGTATTAGTATATTATGTACCTTTATTTTTGTATAATTATGTCTATCATTACATATTGTATGACATTTTATCAATAATTATTATTATATGCCCATTGTGTCTATTGTTGATATCCCATTCATTCAGCTTGTAGTTTTGCCCTGTTCGCAATTGACCTCACCACGTTAAGTCAACCTTGACTGACTCTCAATCTGGTCCTCTATACGCATCATTATATGCCCATTATACGCACCATTGTTTCTATTGTTGATTGCCCAGTAAGCCCATCCATTCTGCTTTGCCCTGTTCGTAATAGAATATCTCGCCACGTTAAGTCAACCTTGACTGACTCTCAATTTGGCCCTCTGGCCTCTCTACGCACTATTTACGTTATGTATTCTCGTTAATTTGTAACCACATATTTTTACTGGCTTTTAAATTTGTAGGACAGGACACTACTCATTTACGCTGCTTGTTTTAACCGAAAGATGCTTGTGTGGCTTAAGCTTTAAGAGCAGATGCTATTAGATGCTTCTTTAATCTGCATGAATATCATGAATGTCATGCTCTATTCTTTTACAATTTTATGATGCAGTAGAAATATTTTAAGTTCTCAAATTTAAACGATTCTCGGGAATTCAAGCAATAGCCTCACCTATATTCCGTAAAATATGTATCATGTATTGTACATGTATTGGAGTAAGAAAATATTGGTGATAGGGCGTTTGTAACAACAAGAACAGATTAGACGTACTCAGGCCATCATACTTGTTCTACTAGATCTATTGTAATCTTTCCAGCATCTTATTTATATTTGTGATATCGTGGAATTGGGTATTGGAGTTGGATTAATGTCGTTATGGATGAGAAGAAAAAAACAATGCATTTTTAATAATTTGATAAAAATGAAACAAGATGCTTGAATTAAAGCGTGAAATTAAAGCTGACGGAAGTATTATGTTCAGAATAATCAGTATTTCACAGTATATAAATATGTACTATATATATAAATATATAAACGTATACGTATTAAACTTGATTCTTCACCTTCTTGCTTTGACTGGTGATGGTGAAGCTCGTTTCATAACACCGGGCCGTGACTATTTACTTGTAAAGCGAGTGAAATCACTCCAGTCCTTATAAGTTCAAGGAAACTTGCAAGGAAACTTGCAGTTTGATAAGCATGGTAAAGCTTGTACTCGATAGTATTTATGCACTTCGTGGCTTGGAACAGTCTTCGCTCCGACCTCCTAGTCAAGTCGAGGAGTAGTCAAGGAGTTTATCTTTTGTTTACTACGAGGCTACTGCGCCTATTGTTTTACTTGCATATCCCTGCTTTGTTTTCATCTAAAAAGCTCCCTTTGCGGCGCAATGAAGGCTATGATAAGCGTTATGATGCTAAGATGATTACTGTGGTTCATTGTCAGTTCATAACCACAACTATGCTCATTTCTCACTGAGCATGCAACTACTATGCCGACTACAAATCACAGCAAATCACAGCTATAAGAACATGTAGCAGGGATCACTGTTACAAGAATGCACGTTCCTACACTTGCTATGAAGATTTAGAGTGAGATGTGTCAGGACGTTTAATTTGTCTCTTAACCTTCAAATGATACGCTGGTAATTCAAATAACCGTCCCTGCTAATCCTCATATTTAATCTTCACGGCGTGAACTAGGAATTTATCACATTGCACAGTCCTTATAAACTTCTGATCTGCATGAATTCGTCATTTAATCGAGCTGGCACTTCAGCCGCGGTCCATTTAATAAGAAGCGAGGTGGGTAATAAACATGGTGCTGTTAGGTCCAGTCTTGCCATGTGCACTCTATGTAGTTGTACTCATGTATTCTGCGAGGAGCTCAGTTTAATCTCCGTGGAGAATGCAGGGAGTTACCGAACTACCGTGCTCCACTGCTCGTGCTCCGTGGAGAATGCAGGGAGTTAGCGAGCTACCGTGCTCCACTGCTCAGTTTAGTCTCCGTGGAGAATGCAGGGCTCCACTGCTCAGTTTAGTCTCCGTGGAGAATGCAGGGAGTTACCGAGCTACCGTGCTCCACTGCTCGTGCTCCACTACCCGTGCTCCACTGCTCGTGCTCCACTGGAGCTAACTAGTCACAGAGTGGTCGGTGCCGGGTTCAAGCAGTTGTCAGCTCTGAGCTACCTCACTCGCAGCTCAACTACAGCTCTGACTCGCGGCTCGGCCGCTCTCAAATGAGAGAGAAACTGCTTCCACAATTCACTACGTGTGATTCATTCTTGCTTTTCCTTACTAACCTGTGTTAATGGCGTTAGCTCTACCTACACTTACTACTCGTGATGCCCATATAAGGAGTGTATACTGTATACTACACGTGATGTCCATATAAGGAGTGTACACCTGACTGCAGCCAGCTCATCAATTTCTCTACTTCTAGCTCGTACGATCCGTGCAACCTGCTATGTCAGGGCATTAAGGATTGGCATTAAGGATTGGCTCTTTTTAAAAGCTGTCCGAAACTGGACATAAGATTATGTCAGGCCTTGTGAGGGGGTCACGTTTCCTAGGGTCGAAGTAGACGATGGTAGTTACCACAATATCCATCACTTGTCAGTGATTGTCACAGGTTCCCCCTCTAACCATTCGTCATATCACTCCTTCAGATATGTCACCTTCAGCAAATTGGCAGAGATTCACTGCTGTGGGGGAGGGGTCAGGTTACTTGTGAGCAGGGTGAGCGCTGATCTTAGTGAGCAGTGAGCTGTGATATCAGCTGCATGATCTCCTGCACCCCCACTTAAGTTAAAGTACCAGCACCCCACCCACACTACCAACTCACCTCCTCTTTCTAATTTAACTCTGATCACACTGTGGTTCTCCAACCTTCGGCACTAAATGTCCTGTCATGAATTAAGATCAATAAAGAAGTAATGCGATGATTTAGGACAGGGACACCGCTCAGGGCACATCTAAATGGGGCAAATACGGTTAACTTTTTGGATACTTATCAAGTTCATGTGGTAACCAATGACAGTACCAATGACTGGAACTACCAGTGCTCTGAACTAAACCACACTTCCTTCCTGCTGGTCAGCTAGCTTCTGTGCTCAGGGCACACGTTAATTACGGGAAATTATGGTTGGAAACTTATCAAGGTGTCGTAATCAACAACAGTGCCAGTGAAACTACCAGTGCTTCTAAACCAACTCTTTCTGCCAGTCAGCTCGGCTCTATATGGCGGAGATAACAAGCTACTGATTCACCAAACTGGCATATAATAATCACATAATACGTGAGCATAATATGGAAATATATAATATGAACATGGTTATTGGTTATGTTAACAAGCCCCAAATTTACGGTTCACCAAGTCCGCATATAATCAGCATAATCCGCACATAATAACCATAATAATAATTACATATTATGAACATGTTTATTTTGCACCTTGTCACGTGATTGGAGCAGCGTTACCCTGGTTACCCCGGTTACCCCGGTTACCCCAGCTGCTACCCAGGTTAGCCCCGCTCCATTGTGATCGTAGATATAGTCTGATATTGTATATCCGTCCCGAATGAACACGTACTTTCGTGTACTACCTTGTACACTACTATAACCAAGCTTTGGGACACACTTTTGACGGTCATTGCCACTGGTCAATCGAGTTTGTCGTCTTATCAAACGTGAACTGTAGGTCGCTAAAACCACATTAACATAGCCGGAAGCCAATACCTACCGTTGCCATTCATATTACCAATCTCATGTCAAAAAATGCCGTAAACACTCACTCTATACTCACTCTAAATACTCACAGATTTATATTTTTGAGTCTATTTTAGAATCTGCAGTATACATTTATCCTTTTTGCTTTTTCCCCTTGTTTTATCATTCTGCGTGTCTTTATGTTGTATTTCTCGCGCATGATCATGAGTAATATCAACAATTTCTGGCGAAAACATATTTGCGAAACATTTAAAAGTCACTTAAAATAATGATAATTTGACGGTAGTGGATTAAGAGGAACACAGTGTGTTGACTGTGTTCGACCACGTGTTCTGCTCATACTCGCCACAAAACACAACACTCTACTCTAGTTGGAGCTACCTGGAACTTGAATGTAAAGAACTCCAAGGTTGCTAGGAGAGATGGAAACCTCTATGAACGGAGAGGCGCCTGGGTCGGGGGAAGCGCTGGACCTATTGAACAACCTCCGGAGTAAAATGAGTACGTGATAAACTTGGAAATCTGCCAACTTAACCGTGTGAACTGTTTGGATTGCTTCGATTGATTGAGAGATTATGGATTGTTTCTTTGATGAAGAGTTTATACGCTTATCAGTTTGTTTGAGCTTGATATGATTTGGATACGATTGAGAATATAGCATGTGATCAGAGCTTGAAAATAACAGCAGCGCATGCACACTATGTAGCACTCTATAACGCAGCTTTTCAAGCTCTCTCAATCTATTGTTTTATGTACTTTTAAACTTTTAACTGCAGCGATTTAAAGTTTTAACAGTGTTAATTTGGCACTGAATGCCCTTTTAAATAACCTTGCCAAAGCACTTAGCATGAGCAGCAGCAGTTTTAAATCCCCATTGTTTTGAGCATGAAACCGGCGACTTTTTTTGGAGAGATTTGCTATAATCAATTAAACAATATCCCAATTCTGTGTTGTGAATAATATGGCTGAAGTTTGATCACATTACACAGGGGCTGTGCCTGAATACCAATTAAACGTGACTTATTTCAGATGACAGAAGTGCCATTCAGAAGAAAACGTTCACAAAATGGATCAACACATATCTTATTAAGGTAAGACCGCAAGTCGTTCTCCAAGACCATAAAAAGTAAATAGGATGAGACGATCAGTGATATAGGATGTAGATTATTTTCCACAGATATTATCACACCTCTGTCGAACCACATCCGTTAAAATGCAGACAAATATCACAAATATCACACGGAACCCACCCCCCAGGTAGGACAAGCAGTAGACGATCTGTACGAAGACCTATCAGACGGGAACAAGCTGATAACCTTGCTGGAGATCTTGACCGGGGAGAGGCTCCCCCGGGAGCGAGGCAAGATGAGGTTCCACAACCTCCAGAACGTGGAAAACTCTCTTAACCTGCTGAAACGCAAGAAGATCAGGCTCGTTAACATCAGGAATGACGATATTGTGGATGGTAACCCTAAGCTGATTCTGGGGCTTATTTGGACCATCATTCTGAACTTTGAGATCTCGCATGATCCTGAGGGACAAGCCAGTGCTAAAGCTACACTTATTGACTGGGCTAAGCGGGCCACCAGAGGGTCAGTATTCTGTAATAAGTGATTTTAGATGTTTTTCGCTTTTTGAATTTGCGTTAGCACAAGTGATAACTAGTTTGTAAAGTTGTTCTAAAGGGGAAAAACCTCAGGTACAAGGGTGTGGACGTGAGGAACTTTACATCTAGTTTCAAAAATGGGATGGCATTCAACGCCATCATCCACAGATTTAGGCCAGATATCATTGATTACGATGTAAGTTTCTTAGTAATTTTATCCAGTCATTCTATAAATCGTTTGATAATTTACTAAATGTCTTATGTAATATGTTCGCACATTCAGCAAGCCCGAAATCATTCAAACTGGAATATCAGTTGTCACAGCAATGTGACACAATGTGACACAAACGCAGCAGGGGAAACTTATGCCAATTACCCGATTAATTCTACGACAAAATATGAACCATTCTACGCAATGTGTCGTGGGCCTTGCCCGCCTTTGCATTCCTTTGCATTCCTTTGCATTCTTTTGCTCACACCAAAATTTCAGGGATTGAAACCGGAAAACGCAGAGAAGAACCTGGAAAACGCGTTCAGCGTGGCGGAGGAGGAACTGGGAATACCCAGACTGCTGGACGTTGAGGACTTCATCCTGGATGAGCTGGACGAGAAAAGTATCATGACTTACCTTTCAGCTTTCAACCGCATGTACAGTAAGGTAAGGAGCAGCTTTAAACTAGCATTCATAAAGTTGGAGTGGTTTTTATTCCGTTATGCGAGGTAGGCACTAAGCCGTGATTGACCAAGGAGCTGTTATTTGACTTGGAACTTTAGTATGAAATGGGTGGAAAATATCCACTGAAATATCATTTGTGACGATGAGAATAGAGGAAGGGGTTATCTCAAAAGATACAATTATTTTATTTTGAGAAAAGAAATAAGATTGACCGATCTCTATTTGAAAAAATCTCTAATTTTTCACGATACCCTTCGCGGTCCCGAACCATCAGTTACACTGAAAGTAGCATAAAATGTATTATGCAACCGTTCGCATAATGATTTACGTCATATCATACGTACTTAGGCTTGGTTTTAATTTAATGCGACACAAATTAATCGGTAACATTAAAGTATTTCCAAATTTAGTATTCTCAATGATTGTCATATGTCATATTAGAATATTTTATGCTTGTCGAAATGTCATGGCGATCCCAAATAGTTATTTGATGATTGACCCATAATGAGGATATTGTGGTGGCGTGAGAAAATAGCTACAAGGAAATAACATTAAGGAGATGGCTTATTTGATATGACGTCAAATTACTAAATCTAATTGTTAATTATCACTATCAAAATAAGACGTCACTTGTTTCATTGAAAGGAAGCTGTAGGGAATTTCAAAAGAATGGTTTGTACTTAATAAGTCACGAAACATTTGGGAAAAAGTGGGAAAAAAGGGGCAAGGAACTGGAAAATTGTAACAGCACGACTCTGTATCCACATAATATTTTGATCTATATCAACATTTCTCATGCATAAACACACCAAACAGTCTACCATATAGTGATTAGTGCCATATCGTGTTCAACATTACATTTCTTTACGCAATCCACAGGCTGTTCACGATCCATAAAGCTAAATATAGCTGATTTCTCCATAAAGATTAACCTACAGATGTTTAAAACCGTATCAATGCATCGTGAACACCCTGTATTAGATCCTTATCTATTGGAACCTATTTCCGTCCATCTAAGCAAAGATGAAATGAGATAATGTATTATCTTGTCAAAACCCCTGACAAGTGTACACGTGGTTATCTTGCCCCATGCTGATTGGCTGCATATTGTCACTCGCACTCTGTCATTTTCTTATCTTGCTTGATGGTTATCGGTTTACTACAAAATGTTACCCTGTTATCACGATGATCAAGGGCCTTCAGGGCAGTCACGTGATCGAATATTGAACCAATCATAACGTCCGTGGCAAATCGGTGAACCAATCAAAACATCGGATTATGATATGACGGTTTTTCCTTATTTTGCCCAATGCCGATGATCTATAGATTAATACGCGATAAATACTGAATTTGTTGGTCGTGTTGCTATCCCCGCAATCACGTGACTGGACTGCTAACTTATTAGAGGTAGAAACTGAATAGCTAGGACCGGGGGGGTTGCAACGACCATTAATGTCAGTAGATGGAATTTTGTCAAAACTGACATTGTCATTAATGGTCATTAATGGTCATTAATGGTCATTAATGGTCATTAAATAATTGAAATTCGTCGCACCAGATAGTGAAAGTGAAGACAAGGATCTTCATGACTTAGGTAGTTACTATAAAAAACAAGAAAATGAACAAAAACACCTCTATTACGAAGTTCTGTAATTTTGGTAAGACGATATGTGGAAATAAAAGTCGGAGATCGAAATTTTTTGGTACCGGCTGTTTCGAGGGTTCTGTGCCATACCAACCGGGCTGCAAAAATTCTTCTAAGCCCTGTCAACGTCGAACAATTCGAAAGGGCGACTCATTAAGTGCTACCTTTGTTCCAAAAAAGGCTAAACGTCCCCTTCGTTGCCTCGGTACCATTTTATCAATGAGTGTCTCTGCTTCAAAAAAGGGCAACTGCAGATCTAGACGAATTCCTGCCGCATCAATTTGTCCCTATCATGATGACAGTGCTCGATTTTGGGTCAAAACTGCCGAAGGCAGAGTATTGAACTGTAAACGAATTGTTCTATCTAATCCTAGGAAAAGATCAGCTTTTTTGTTGTCCGATTCAGACTGATGACGATGTATTTCATGAAGTGCTAAAGTTGAATAAGTTCATCTACTGTGTAATTACTATATAATCGACTAGCATAATGATTTGGCCTAAATATAAATCTTGATATGATATAAGAACGGGAACGAAGTATTTAATTTTAATACCCGTGTTATTATTATTTTATTATTGATTGTTATTTTACTATTGATACGATCTGATACTCCTAAATTGCCCTTTGAATTATTATTATTGATAACTATAATAAGTCACCAACTGTTATCTGGTTTAAATCCCGTGGCCGAAAAATGTGTTCTTCATTACATTCGAACTTAATAAATGTAATCCCTAACTCACTCTGGAATCCACTCAAGTGATATTCTGGAAGGTTTGCCTAACCACGGAAGATTCTATTCTAAGTTTTCTCTTTCGAATCTCTAATTGTAAATGTAAAATAATAACATATACTTGTAGTTAGTTAACTTAAGGTAGGGTCTAAATGATGCAGGCGTCCGTCCTTTTCGCTCTAAGAAGTGCCGGAAAAAACATGACCATTAATGTCAGTAGATGAAATTTTGACAAAACTGACATTGTCATTAATGGTCATTAATGGTCATTAATGGTCATTAATGGTCATTAATGGTCGTTGCAACCCCCCCTAGGACCTTATCAGAACATCTCTGCTGATTGTAATGTACCGTTAAAAACACGACAAGACCCGGAGATATCGACTTATTTGTATTGTTTTTAACATAACATCTACTGATCTACTTAGGTCCTAGCTAGAACCAGAATATAGGGTCGCTTTTCACTGTTAAGTTTTTGGTAGTCGAAGGCCCCACAACATTCTACGTGGCGGGATAATGGGCCGATAAAGTCTTTCTAAACGCCCCGATATAAAATTATAATATCATGATTAGCAGTCAATGGAATAGACAGTTATTGAAATGAAAATGATATGATGGCGTCTAGACTTGAGACCAGCTCGCAGTACATAGCATCAATGCTCCTACCTTCAGTCTAGCTCAAATTATTTTAGCTCAAATTATTTGTTATATATAACAAATATACTAAAAATAGACTACTATATAATATATAGTAGTATATTTAGTAGTATACTACTATATTATAGTAGTGTTGAAGGTATAAAAATAGTGAACTTTGCCCTGGCAGGTACCGTCTGAGGAGGAGTTAGCTGTGAAAGTGTACAGTGACAGAATTAATGTCGACGCCAAGAAAATCTTGAACTGGCTCAAGGCGAACATTGATCGTCTGGAGAAGAAGGTGACACTTTTGGCATGTCTGTTTTGACTTTGTGTGATTCCGTTTATTTTTAGTACTACGTCACCAAGAAGCATATATTTTTACTTCCATTTGCTGGAAATTATGACGATTCAGCTATATTTAAATCATGAACTTTGTATCTAGATTTACAAGATGGATCCCGAGATGTTTGAGAAGTACAAAGCAGACTTGAAGAGGATAGAGGATGACGAAATGCCCGAGAAGAGAGAACTCAAAGATTACCTGGGAGATTGTTACAAAAATCTAAAGGTAAACTCAGGCAGTTCGAATTTTAAAATTCATAAATTCATTCTGTATAAATTGAAATGAATATTGCTTAAAATGTCTAGTTCCGAAAAGTAATATAATCGTTATCATCAGTTGGCTGAAGCAGAAGACATGATCACCACTGATATCACTCATGATAAGATTGAAAACTACTGGGACATGCTAGAAAAGAGTCTAGCGGACAAGAAGGCTGCAGTGCAGGGGGAGAAGGACAGGTAATGTTCTTATCTTGCTGACAGTTTGGGGTGTAACTATGGTAACTAGTAGTGTAACTATGGTAACTGTTCATCGCTCCTTCTCTGGGGGATATCAAGCGGTTTTTATTGTCTATCACGTTCCATCCTGAATCCTGGGGATAAGGGATCATTAAACTGTGTCTTTTGTTTATTCAAACCTTGCTGGTCAAATAAAATGATGGTTGGCGTCTCTCTAAATGTAAATGGCGTCTCTCTAAGGACAATTTATTTTCGGTAACTTAATTGTTATATGTATTCGCCAATATCTTTTGAGACTCACTCACTCAGGGTGATTATTGTTGTAATAAATCACATTGACAGCGAGCATGATTTGTACAAGTATGTGTGCTGTTTTCATCTGTTATTTCAACGAAGAAATTAGTCGTGTTCATGCTAGTTCTACCATACCACAATAGCATTGGATGTGCTGAATAATATTTTAGAGTTTAGATAATCTGGATAAAATCATATTATTGGAGTTACAAAAAATAGAATTTGGCCAACGCTAGCATTGATATGTGTTCCTTCAAACCTGCGCTAGTTGGTTGAGCTGATAGTTGTAAATTGGTACTGTTTCGTGTGGACGTTACCACCAAATCCAAATCCGATGAGTATTACTGGGACAACTGCAGTTAGCTGAGATATCATGTTGAAACTAAGTTTAGGGCTGTTACCGACACTCTTAATCTTTTTAGCTATTTTCCCAAGCATATTCAGAGGAAGACTATCGGCCAATTTAGTGTTAACAAAGAAATGAATGAACAAGACAAGATGAGATGAATTGTGTATAACATTTACATTTCCGGCCGAATTGTTTGCTTGGCTTGCAATATGAGAATCCATTAACTTTTCCCGAATTATAACAAAATATTCTCTACAGGATCAATGCCCAGAACGAGCTGGCTGATCGTATCCAACAGAAAGCTGAACAAGCTGCAGCGAAACTAGATCAGATCAAGCAGATGATACTCCACCCACCAGAGGAAGTGTGTCTGTCTGATCTGATCCAGGAGGCTAAACAACTTCTCTACAACTCCAATGTGAGTCTACACTCAATACTTACTATATAACTGCTGATTTATTATCGACACTTAGTCGAGTCTCTATCATCAATATATTATTATGAAATATTCTAAATCCTATTGCCTAATATATTGCAAAATTTGAACTCAGTTAGTACCTTTGCATGCCACCGATTTTTCCCAAAACGGCGTCGGCGTGATGAAATTGTTCGGAAACGGCAGGAAGTCGAGTGATTTGAAAATAAAATGAACACCTGTAGACTGATTGGCAACAGCTATTGGTTGCCTTTGTTGGATAATTGTAATTTAGAGGAATTGGGGGCAGTCTTACACAAATATTTGTGCTCAAAACGTACTCCAAACAATAATGTTACAAATTCCTGAAATGCCAATAGTTGTCAATTTTACACTTTGAGAACAATAGACTTTCATATTATATCTTACCAACTTGAAGATCAATCTCCTTAGCGCCAGTTCGCATTTTTTTAAAAACATTCAAGATAAATCTTTTTTTAACTGCGAAATTTTGAAAGGCACTTTAAATACTTCGAGTTGTCAATTAGTTGATGACGTATAATGTATTATAAATTGGTTAGATTGGCGGGTGCTTAATAGTTTGGTTTCGCAGCTCATTTGAGAGTTTGGTCTATAAAAGCATATCGGTGTGTACACCGATCACGCTGCTTCTAAAGCGGCGTGGTAGGAAAATAATCGGCGGCGTGCAAAACTGTAACCTTAGTCCCCAATTTATAGCAAAATGTGAACTCTATAAGATAAAAACATTTCCCACCAGATGGAGGAAGATGCACGTGCTATGTACAGCGGAGTGAGCGCTCTGATGAAAGAGAACCACCCTCGAGCTGATGAACTTTCCGCAGAGTGAGTTATTGTTACTTTTATTCCCTGGTGAAGATGTAAAATCTCGTGAAACATCGTCTGCCCCTGTGTCATTAAAATGACGTTCACTCTTCTCAACTGTTTTTGTTTTGCTGTGGTATTTTTAGATTTACGTAGTGCTATGCATGACTAAAAAACTAACTAAACATCTCAGAGTCCAGCTGGTTTCTGACGAGTTGGATGAAATAAAAGTCAGACTGGATACTTTGCACGAGAATCTGGAGCAGGGGGCTATTGATCAGATTGACAGTAGGATCAATGATCTAATGACCCAGATTCAAGCCAAAAACGTAAGCTGTTCTCTCCACAGCTTGGGGAGAAAATATCAGATCAATATTAGTTTTTATGATTTGCTATTATAGATTTTATGTGAACGTCTGTGTTCGCTCAAGAAATCGATTATGATTTTTAAAACCTTATCGTCAACGTAAAATAAAAATCCATACTTTTTACAAATGGGCTGATGGCGATGCATTATAGGATAGAACCTGCCAATAAATAAATAAATTCTACAGAATCTTATGAGCATCAACCAGTGGTCACTTGACATGGCGAGCGTAAACGGTCTGTTAAGTATGACGAACTGTTATTATACTATATAAGTTATATAATATGCAGTATGAAATTATATTACCTAACTGCTCTTAAAAGCTAAATGAGGTAATGATGAAGATGTCCGTTACCATGACAACTAGATGATATAACATTTTATTTAACCAGGACCAGCTGAAAGAAGATGGATGCGGTGACAATATCCAAGGTGCTCTACGGATCTTAGACAACCTTCTCACCCTGATGGATGAGGTAGATGCCCTCCAGCAGGATATCACGGCTGTCAAGGCTGCCGTGGCAGAGAATCCGAGGGCTGACGTCCGGCAAGAAGCCAAGCTGCAGGACCTGGACTACGAATACAGTCAACTCAAGTCTAACTGTGTGACTAAAGACCAGGATATGAGGGAAGGAGTGGAGTTCCTGGAGGCTATTGCTGAGTTGTTGAAGTGGGGCAGGGAGCAGAAGGACAGCGAGATGAAGTTCGATTGGAGCGAGTATCATCCTCTTGAACACCCTTATGAGAAGGTTTGGGATGTTGTAATGTTTGCTTCCTATTTTGTCTAATACAGGCAAGACTTGAAGAATTAATAGATTCAATTTACTAATTTCCCTGGCCAACACTCAAATCCCAGTTCCGTGTTTGTTTTCGCCCTATACTTGAAATAGATTAGAGCAAGGGGTGATTGCTCATTGTCATACTATACCCGATTTTTCTGTCTTTCAAATTATTTTTGTTTGCCTCCCTAAAATTAAACACAAATAATAGTCATCTGATGGCAGCGAAATTTAACAAAATTCTTATATATAATATATAAACAAAAGCTCTAAGAAACAGATAGTAAACAAAGTAAACATTTCTGTCCCCTAATCTTTCTCAAACAAAAGTCATGCAATTGCATACTTCTCCATTTAACTCTATTCTGAGCAATTAACGTTAAATAGTTCAAATCACATAAATTATTCAACGATAATTTTCGAACAATAAGGTCTACTTGTAGAATCAGTGAGAAAAGGTTTGACTGCGGTCTTCCACGCCGCCCTTGAAGCTGTAAGGTGTTAATAGCAAAAACAAGCGACGAATAGGCTGGACCATCTGTAGGCCCACGCAGTACATGTCCGAGCATCCTCCACCGACTACGAGCCACTTTAGCTGACAATGGTTCGTTATTGCAGCGTTTATACAAGTTCTTGTTGGAAATGATGTGAGGGTATTTGTAATTCAAAATTGATCGCAGATGAGGTCTGTGAGCAATATCTAGTTTTTTCCAACACTGATTTAGGGGCAGCCCAGCAAGATGAATTGTACATTAAAAAAACAACAACAATAACAAAATTCTTAATGGTATTAAATCATAAAAGAAAGCATGACTGATACTATCTGATTTCGTGATTATGGTCGATGAATAATATTTTAACCTTGCTAAAAGCACCGGTCGTTTGAAAAGATACTCATCTACTACAGTTACAGGCCTGACATCTGAGTTAATGTAAGTTTTCTTGGTTAAATCCAAGTTCAATTTTAGAAAGCGGACAGCTTTTACCTGGCGAAAATATCGAGTTGTAGTATGTCTATCCCTATCTGACTGTTACAAATCTAGTTCTTTTCATCGGCCAGGTTTGTGCTTGAGTTCCTTAGTACAATAGAGTTGGGTTCCTGTTCATCAATGAGCTGCTTTTTTAGTCCAACATTGAGTCGCTTTTCAAGCCCAGGTTGAGTTAGGCAAATCTCTATATCATTCCGCTCAGGATCTCTTTCCAGATGGCTTAACGTCGGAGGCTTCCCGACTCCATTCCGTGCGCAAAAGGTTGTATCTGCGGGTGGATCACTTCTCGATCTGGGGTAAGGTATTCTCTCTCTGTTCGCTCTCCGCCTTCTATCACTGAACTCATACACGTAGTAATTAGAGACCACGTTGATGAAAGAGAGGTGCATGGAGAGGGTTCCAGGGATATAGGTATTCCCCAGTGGTGTATTATCTGTATGTCCACCCTTGAAAATTACCAAAATCATCAGCACTGTTCCTGGGAAGACTGAAAGGACGAACAGAGTGGTTACAATGATAATGGTGACCAAAGACTTTGTCTTGAGTTGAGATCCTGTTCTTGTGAGATTGTGTGTTCTGGAGCAGATGACAAGGACCCAGACGTTGGCGATCAGAGTAACCATCAGAGGTCCGACTTGGCAGAGGATCAGCATGAGAGGTCTAATGACCTTACCTGAGATGGAGGTGGTTCGTAACCACAGTGGTTGACAAATGAACCTAGAAACGGAGAACTCCACTCCTTGTTTTCCATTGTTGTTCCATTGTGCAATGCCCACCACTATCAGCAACGTCCAGAGCCCAGCGGAGAGCAAGATACCTAGTTTTCTACGTTTTGAGGCGTTGGCGAGACTTCTGAGGGGGCACTGCATAACGTAGAGACGCTGGAGGGGCAGGGCTGCCATCAGGACCAGCTCCATTATGTTGGGGATAAACTGTACGTATGCTACTATCACACATATCAGCTCCCCTAGCATCCACCGCCTGCAGAACAACATGTTTTCAGCTAACAACTCGTATTCAATATCTTTAACTTCATCCGCAATCCAATTGGTATTGTCTGGAAAAATACTCGAAGGGGACAAATACTTGAAGGGAAAAGAAACTGCAACACTAACCTGTATAAGGCAGTTATAAAGACGGGAATAATTCTGAAGAAAACCATAAAAAGATCGGCCAGTGCTGTGCTCCTGATGAGGGGGTCGTCCGTTTTCGTGAGGATGTGCCGTCTAGTGAGCACGGACACGTTCCCATGTACACCTGGAATTTTATAGATTTACTAGTGTAACCCATGCCTACGGCTGGGATTTCACTATCACAGTTAAAATGCACAAGTACAAACCCGCCTATTATATTCTAAAAAGGGCAATACATTATCGTAGTTAAAACGGTGCGAAAGTACGAACTCGCTCAGTCCAAACTCACCGTAATTAAATTCTGAATGGCCCTCACGTATCTAATAGTAATACTTGATAGGCAATCCTGAGGTCCCCTGTCAAATTACCTAATTATACAGCCAATCTGTTGGGGGGGGGGGGGGGGATGAGAGCGAGATTGGGAGAGAGGGAGAGCACGTGAGACACTTTAGTATCAAATTTGGGTCACAAAATGATCAATTAAACCACTTACCACCGACCGATTTGAAAAACCTTAATCATTTGGCTTCGTCAGAGTTTTGTCGGCACTATTTGGGCACTATACAGACAGACAGACACTAGACAGACACACACACACACACACACACACACACATTTATTGAGATTATTAGTATAGATTGGTTATAATATACTAGATTCGTTCGTTAATAATACTCACCGATTATAGCGAGGAAGAAGTCAATAGCAGCGATTATATAGAGCACATAGTTTTCCCAGCCCAAAACATTTCCAAGTTCAGTGATGTTCAGTCTTGGGATGTAGTGAACAGTGTTACTTGTCACGGAGGGAGGCATTGATGCCTTGGTAAAGTTCATTATAGGAGCGACCCCTGATGTACAGTGGTATAAAAGTCAGTCACAAACCGATGCCGATTATTTGGAGTATAAAATAAAATAAAATCTCGGTTATGTAATTCTCGTTATATAGCACCACGCAGGAGAAAATATCGCGTCTAGACCATCGTAACGTTGACGCAGTTAAACTAATGGCAAGAATATACCCTCTCACAGGTTGAGATGTATCGGGAGTGGGAGTACTATATGTAATTATAATCTGCTTTACAAAGTTGTCGATCTCTTTTAAATTGCACGTTCATGATCTATAAAAGTTCAGCACTGAATTTTCTACTTTTCTATAGAACGGTTGTTTTAGAAACAGCTTTTCAATTCAATTAAATAACTTAAAAATCTGGTTTATAAAATGCAATCGTTTAATGAGTGCTGTAGCATCAATCCTGATCTCTATGATATATTAGTAGTGATATCGCAAAGAAATTCAATTAAAATCAATGATATTGCGTCAAATGAAAATTATCTTTAGTGGTCGCTTTCTTTGAACAAAATTCTTAATGATTTTAAACCATAAAATAAATCTTGACTCATATCTGATTTCGTGATAATGGTAGATAAAGACTATAAAGAGTATTTTAACCTCGCTAAAAGCACCGGTCGTTTGAAAAGGTACTCATCTATCAAAGGCCTGACATCTGAGTTAATTTAAGTTCTTTCGATTAAATCCAACTTCAATTTTAAAAAGCTCAAAGTGATTTCATTAAGCGGACAGCCTTTAACGGTAGAAAAGCTGATAGCTGACAAAGTATGAAACTATGAACTATCGAGGGTAGTATGTTTAGATTATCAGGATAAATTTTGTACGAAAAAGGGCACGACACATAATATATTTCTAAACATGGTTTTTATAAAATACAAACATCTGTGATCCAAATGTATATGAGAGCGGGAGTTCGACATAAACCGATCATACTAACAGCAAGTCTACTATCTGACTGTTACAATTCTAGTTCTTTTCATCGATAAGGTCTGTGCCTAAGTTCCCTAGAACAATAGGGTTGTGTCGTGATTCCTGTCCAACATTGATTCGCTTTTTAAGTTGAGTTAGGGAAATATCTCTATCATGCCGCTCAGGATCTCTTTCTAGGCGGTTTAACGTCGGAGGCTTCCCGACCCCATTCCGTGCATAAAAGGTTGGATCTGCGGGTGGATCACTTCTCGATCTGGGGTAAGGTATTCTCTCTCTGTTCGCTCTCCGCCTTCTATCACTGAACTCATACACGTAGTAATTAGAGACCACGTTGATGAAAGAGAGGTGCATGGAGAGGGTTCCAGGGATATAGGTACTCCCCAGTGGTGTGTTACTTGTATGTCCACCCTTGAAAATTACCAAAATCATCAGCACTGTTCCTGGGAAGACTGAAAGGACGAACAGAGTGGTTACAATGATAATGGTGACCAAAGACTTTGTCTTGAGTTGAGATCCTGTTCTTGTGAGGTTGTGTGTTCTGGAGCAGATGACAAGGACCCAGACGTTGGCGATCAGAGTAACCATCAGAGGTCCGACTTGGCAGAGGATCAGCATGAGAGGTCTAATGACCTTACCTGAGATGGAGGTGGTTCGTAACCACAGTGGTTGACAAATGAACCTAGAAACGGAGAACTCCACTCCTTGTTTTCCATTGTTGTTCCATTGTGCAATGCCCACCACTATCAGCAACGTCCAGAGCCCAGCGGAGAGCAAGATACCTAGTTTTCTACGTTTTGAGGCGTTGGCGAGACTTCTGAGGGGGCACTGCATAACGTAGAGACGCTGGAGGGGCAGGGCTGCCATCAGGACCAGCTCCATTATGTTGGGGATAAACTGTACGTATGCTACTATCACACATATCAGCTCCCCTAGCATCCACCGCCTGCAGAACAACATGTTTTCAGCTAACAACTCGTATTCAGTGCCTCGTTGACTTCATCGCAACGAATACTTTATCTCCAATCCAAATTGGTTTGTCTGGGACAAAAACTTGAAGGGAAAAGAA